CCCGCCGCTGCTGTCCGGTGCGGTGGAAACCCTGGCGGGCCTCTGCCTTCGGGAGCCCGCTGGCCCTCGGGGCCCACCCGGCGATGGCGTGTGCCCCCCATGCTCGCGGGCCTGCCCAGGGTGAGTCCCAGCGCGGAACAAGTTTCCGTTCGACTCGTGATTTGAAATGCGGGTTCCATGCTCAGGGAGTCAGTTAAAGATTTAAAAAACAAAAACAGATCTCGAATTTTGGTCACTTTGCCTTAATGGCCCCCCACTTGGACATTGAGATCACTTTTGTTTTGGTTGATTGCCTTTATTTTTTTCCGTAGCATAGGTTCATGGGGTTCTCGGATGAGATAGTTATATGAAAGAAGCGTTATAAAAAAGAAAAGAAGGATTATACCTTCTTTTTTGCGCTGTAAATGAGTTTTTGGAAGGACTTGCGTCTTTTAGAACGAAATATAAAAAAGCAAAGTAAACCCTCGGCTATCAAGTTGATTTCGACACGTAGCGACCCCATGGGACTGAGGAGAGATGTCTCATACGGTTTCCAAGGCGGCAATCCCATTGAATGGTAGGAAGGGGAGATTGTTTGCTCCCATGAATATTTCCAGTTTTGGAAACTATACAAAGCCGATGACAGTGGGGTTTGATTTGTCTGGGTTTTGTAATTTATACAGAAGCAGATCCCCCCCCCATCTTTGCCGTGCCAGCCGCTGCTGGTTCACCTGCCATTTAGAATAAAATATAGTCTCTTGTAATTTTACATTTCGATTTATTTTCAACATACTGTAAGAGCCTGTGGATTTTAAGAACCATCTTTCCTGAGCTTTCAATAATTTGGATCTGAAGTGTCAAACTTTTTAACTCACTGTCATTGCTTCAATGCCAACTCAGAGTCACCCTGTAGGACAGGGTAGAACTGCCCCTGTGGGCCTCCTAGACAACTCATCATGGGGCTTAGAAAGCCTCAGCTTTGGTCTGTGCCTGGACTGGTGGTTTTGAACTGCTAACAGGGCACTTAGTAGCCCAATGTGTAACCACTACACCACCAGTTCAAGTTAATACTTGCTGTTGATGTTCTCTACCTGGTAGGCACTATAAGAACTATATTTTCTTGGTACTCTTACATTTCTTTTTTAATCTTAATTTTTCAATAACCTACCATTTTTCAAAGTAAAAATAATTTAAAAAATTTTTTTTAAAGAGATTGTCACCAGCAGTTTTAGGGTATACATAATTTGAATAAAGTGAAAACATTGAATCTCTCACTCTTAATTGTGAAATTTTCCAGGGACTCTTTTTCACCTCTTAGAATGAAATGAACCATAAATTTCTCTAGGTTTTCCCAGAGGTGTTTATAAACTTATTTTGCTCTCCAACCTCATGTATCTGCAAATTTTATGCTTAAGCTATTCCAGAACTTTTACTAGTCATAAACCCATTTTCTTGAAAATTGACTTTAATATTTCTTTGCCTTCAGCCCGGAATGCCTTTCCGATTTTTCACTTTCTTGGATTTCAAATTCCCTTTAGCTTACAGCTACCATTTCTGTGGATGTTCCCCGTAGGGTCTGGTGATATAGCCTGCTATTGTAATGTACCACATGTTTAAGGCCTGATGGTTTTTACTTTTTAGGAATTTGGGGTGTAGTAAAGAAATACAAGCAGACACAAGTGAAGATTAAAAAGAAAATTGTTTAGGATTAGTAACTTGGAGGTGGAAAGGATACATTGCTTGGTGGTAAGCTGTGGAAAGATAGACCTCGCCAGGCCCCACGTGGATGACTTGGAAGCCTTGGCAGTAGACTTTTTAAGGAGGGAAGAGCCTAGATAATGACATTGCTAGGGAAATGTCAGGCTGGTGAAAGAAACGGTTTTGGGAAACCCAGCTTTTTTAAAAAAGTGTGTGCCTACTAGGTTATAGAGGGCCTGTTTTGCCAATAGAAGCGCACGCGTGTGTGTGTGTGTGTGTGTGTGTGTGTGTGTGTGTTTATATGTAGTACGGAATCATTGGACGTCTTTGAGAAGAGGAATGGCATAATCCATGTGTGCTTTATTAAGAAAATGAGCAGGTTTTTTGTTTGTTTCATTAACAGCTGGCAAAATGTTGCCCTGTTGGATCTAGACCATGGGAAGGAGTTGAAATGTTGTTAATTACTATTCAAAGGTTGCCAACCCTGTCGTAGAAGCTACAACTCTTTAATGTGTGTTTAGAGAACTTTTTGTGAAATACAGTGAACCCTCGCCACTTCGCGCTTCGACTTCCGCGGCTTCACTCTATCGCGGTTTTTGCGTAACAGCGCATGCTCTGTCATTACTG